CATGTAAACCAATAATCTGAAAAACAATTTTTAAAATACTTTCTTGTGTAAGAAAGAGAAGGTCTTCAGTGGTGTATGTTTAGTGAAGCTCACTTTTCTCCTAAGCCTTTCATGTCTTATAAATTTTAATATTATAATTTTTACAGGTTAGGGAATGAAAAGCCAATGACTAGAATTCACATCTCTATTCTGTTACGAAAGAATTCAAGACGTTTTTTCCTTGTAAAATGTGTATTAAAATATTTAACCCCATAATAATGAAATTACTTGTTTGGATTAAAGAAAACTGTATTTGTGACAAGGCTTCACTGTGTTGCCCTGACTGGCATTATGCTCCTTATGCTAAAGCTTCCTCCCAGCAACTGCTGTCTTTGACTCCTAATGTCTACTGGGGGTGAGTCACCTAGCAGTTATCTGATGGATTCACCTGAGGACAACTGACACAAAGCATTCATAAAGAGCACATATTCAAAGCCACTTGCTGAATGACAAAAGCATACACCAATTTTTAAAGTAGAATTTATTTTCTTTACCAAAGATTTATTAGAGATTAAAATCAAATGTACTTTTTAAAAATAGTAAGTAAGACAGAGTGGCCGCAGAGCAACCTCTGTGTCTGGGGCTTAATAAACAGCACTAAAATAACAACAATTAATAATAATAATAATAATAACAATAATAGTAAACAATAAGAACAAAATAGTAGGATGACCCACTTGGTGTCTGTCATAATGACCATATTGTTCATCAGGAAGGAAAAGGGAATCACCTGTCCACAGCTAATCCATCTGCTACAACAGAGCAGTGCAAGGCACAAATGTAACCCAGAAAATATCCAGATAGTTTGCATCAAACTTCCATGATTGCTTTCATATTGTGACTTTAAAGCAATGGGTTTCACAGATGTAAATGGAAAGTTTGAAATTTTGTCTGTTTTGCAGAGAGCAAAGGAGTTTTCACTGACAGTATGGTGACTGGGCTGCACTTTCACTGAGCTGCAACTACTAGTTAACTTCCAAAAGGTGTAA